AGCAGATTTCAAATACCACTCAAATGCCTTTATTTCATCCTTTATAGTGCCTATGCCATTTTGGTAGCATAATCCAATATTACATTGTCCTTCGGGACTGCCGCCTTCAGCAGATTTCAAATACCACTCAAATGCCTTTATTTCATTCTTTATAGTGCCTATTAGATCGTGGAAATTAACCTTCTTTTTACCAGTTGAAGACTCTCTAGTTGTTAGATTATATTCTGATTCTTCATAAGCCTCTGTACGTTCTTTGATCTGCTTTTTATGTTTTTCTATAGGACTGTCATTATCGATTCGTTTTCTTTTTTTATCCAATGAACCAATGAAAGAAACCAAATGTTCAGCTTTGGCATCATCATTTTTTTGATCTTCTTCCTCGGAAAGATCTTCTTCATCATCATTAGACGCATCATCATCATTAAACGCTTCATCATTAGACACATCATCATCATTAAACGCTTCATCACTATCAATTTCTTCATCGTCCTCTTTATCAATCTTTTCTGTACCAATATATTCATAACTTTCTACTTTATCAAGATTATTTTTACGACGTTTTTCATGATCTTTAATTTCTCCTTCTTGATCAATTTCAAAAATATCTTGTGCAATTATATTATCGAATGCTTTACTATTTTTTTTTGTTTTGGTTTTTTTCTTCATTTTTTTTTTTTTTATTTTTTTGAGAAATTTTTTCGATAACGATAAGCTTTTTTTTTCAAGATTACTGTGTAACGGGTTTACTTATTTTCCACCGTGATACAAACTTAATTTATATTATTTTCTATTATCATATAAAAATTATACTATCACATGATCGTATGTTACACAATTCAAATTAAGTTTGAACACACACTGTGTAACAACTATCATAAAATTTATGCAATTCGATTGGCTGGTTCGAAATGTCGAACAATCACAATCTGATTGGACGAAATCGACGATCCCTAACAAACGTTTGCAGCTACTTGTTCATTAAATGAAATTAATTTTCCACTAAAAGTCTTCTCAACCTATACTTGCTGGTAAAATGGCAAAACCTGGACAAATTCAAAAAAACAATTGTTATTTATAAAAAATTGAATCAAAAAAATAGTGCTAATACTGTATATTATATATAAGAATATATGATTTTGTTTGAATAAGGATTATTAATAAAATTTTTGAGATATGAATTTGGCCAGAGTTTGGGATTTGGGCGCGGACAAACTAATTTTATAATAGTTTGGGATTTTGCCAACAAGTATACCTCAACCATTTTTTGGCTGTTGTTTTAAGTGATAAAATAAAAAATTTTCATCGATTTTATATTAGTGCTATATTCGTTCAAAGGTTTGAAAAAAATTTAGGCTACTACAAAAAAAAAACTGATAACGACAAGGTTTTTTTCTAAAATTTGAACGAAGATTGATAATCTCAACTAATTTTTAAAAATCGACTTACCGGTAATTGAGTCAATACTTGGTCATATAGAGAAATGTATGAAGATTTCAGAGAATCAGACTGTTCAACACCTGGAAAATTTAGGATATATATTACAGACAATCGACTTAGTATAGTAAAGCTGATTTTTAAATGTTAACTATAAGCACGATCGTAAAAAAAACCTTAATATTTAGCAATACTAATACAAAAACTCATTCAGCGGTTATATTGAACAATTTATATAAAAATTATAATTAAATTTATATTTTTGACATTAATTTACCGTATTTTTTAAAATTTACAGTAATTGTGCTGAAAATTAGAGGTACCATAAACTCTGTTAAAATTAACTTACTATAAATCCTAACCTACTATAAAAAATGCACCCCAAAAAATTTTAAAATTTCATATTTTTAAAATATAAAAATTTCACATTTTCAACAATTTTCAGTTCAGCCCCACAATAATTAAATTAATATAATTTAAAGAAAATAGCATTATTATTATTTAGAGCTCTTCGAAACAAAAAAAAAAGCATTTTTTATTATACACATTTCAAAATTTAGTTAACAAATAATTTGCCCATAACTATAAATGATATTATTGCATTCCTAATACTAATTTAAATCACACGCTTTATACATTAATTTTATTTTAAAAAATATTTTGGTAATGAAATAATATGCTGTGACACACTAGGGTGTTACTTCGGTTAATTAAAAAGACCAATTATAATTGGATCAAACGAATAATTTTTTTTATTCATTTTACAATGGATAAAAAGCTTGAATTTGAACATTATTTAAAATCTGCTGAAGGCGGCAATCCCAATGGACAATGTAATCTTGGATACTGCTATGAAAATGGCATAGGCACTATAAAGGATGAAAAAAAGGCATTCGAGTGGTATTTGAAATCTGCTGAAGGTGGTAATTCCTTAGGACAAAATAATCTTGGATTGTGCTACAAAAATTGCATAGGCACTATAAAGGATGAAAAAAAGGCATTTGAGTGGTATTTAAAATCTGCTGAAGGCGGTAATCCCAGAGGACAATGTAATCTTGGATTATGCTATGACGAGGGCATAGGCACTATAAAGGATGAAATAAAGGCATTTGAGTGGTATTTGAAATCTGCTGAAGGCAGCAGTCCCTCAGGACAATATAATCTTGGATTATGCTACCAAAATGGCATAGGCACTATAAAGGATGAAATAAAGGCATTTGAGTGGTATTTGAAATCTGCT